ACAGAACACTATTTGTTTAGGTTTTCGAAGCCGTTCCCTCCCTTCCGCTTCTCCATGGAGGGGAGGCTTAGCTTCTTGCTATACGTAGGTTAATGGATGAACGCGGAATGACAGAATATTTTAAAACGCGGAACGCCTTTTCATATTAAACAAAAGTCTAAAAAAATGGAATTGCAATGAATTGAAAATTCTTTGTAATTAACAAGCAAAAATAGAAGAGACTTAGGTAATCATTGTTGGGGCCTTGGAGAGGATTGGGGAGCTATCAAGCTTTCGAGCCAATCTCTGTAAATAATTAATATATTAACACTGTTAACATTATTATTATTATTATTATTATTATTATTATTATTATTATTATTATTATGCGCCCTAGGAAATGTTGCATCGTTGTCAAGCCAGAGAAGGAAGGGTCAGCAAAAGACGTGTTTAAGTCAACAGCTATCAATATTACAAGCGAAGGCCATAAACATCTTGGCGCAATGATTGGCTCACAGGAATACCGAAAAGAGTACGTCGATGAAAAGGTATCAGAATGGGTCAGCGAAATAGCCCAACTCGCGGAATTTTCTGCCACCGAACCACAAAAAATCCTGTTACTCGGCTTATACGTTTGGCCTTAAACACAGATGGAATTATTTTCTTCGGACTATTCCCAACGCCCAGGATCCCATAGAACCTTTGGAAAATGCTATAAGCCATGTCCTCGTATCTGCAATAACTGGGCGCAAGTGTAATTAACTGGAGAGAGACGTGTTGTCCTTACCCGCTCGCTTTGGTGGCCTTGGCCTTGAAAATCCGCTGATACAAGCACCGCGAGAGTACAAGACATCCGTTGGAACAACTGCACCGCTCGTCGAACAAATTAAAGCCCAACAACATCACTTGCCGGAAGACTCGGTAGTAAAGTCATCAAAACAGACATCCCAGCGTAAGAGAGACGAAGACGTCAAAGAAAGAGTGAAGAGTGTTTATGAGAGGGCACCACTTAAGACCAAGCAAGCACTAGACCTGGCTACCGAAAAGGGTTCCTCGGTATGGTTAACCGTCCTTCCCTTACAAGAGCAAGGATATAATCTCGAAAAAAGAGAATTCCGAGACGCTATTAAATTGCGATACGACTGGCAATTCGAAGATATTCCTTCCAAATGTGCTTGTGGGGACGTGTTCACAGTGGACCATGCAATGGTCTGCAAAAAGGGTGGCTTTATTATACAGCGCCACAACGAACTTAGAGACTTAGAAGCTGAGTTTTTAGGAATTGTCTGCAAAGATGTGGAACTCGAATCTCAACTCCAAGACACGACAGGAGAGCAATTAAACAGTGGTTCCAACATGGTGCAAGATGCAAGGCTAGACATTCATGCTCGTGGTTTCTGGGAACACAATCGATCTGCATTCTTCCATATTCGAGTTTGTCACCCAAACGCTGAATCGTACAGAAATCTGAAACCGCAGCAGATTTACCGCATGCACGAGAACGAGAAGAAACGTTCCTACTCAAGACATGTTCTATACATCGAACATGGTTCATTTACGCCTTTTGTGTTTACTTCGACTGGTGGAATGGGCCAAGAACGTTTGAGATATCACAGTCGCCTTGCAGAACTCATTGCAGAAAAGAAAGGAGAAAACTATTCAAAGACAATTTCCTGGATCAGGGCAAAAACTTCATTTGCATTATTGAGATCTGCCCTAATCTGCCTAAGAGGATCCAGAACAATTAGAAGGCCCAAATTGGACTTTACTAATGTAGACCTAGATATTCAAAGCTCAGAGGCTGCCATTTGTTAATTTGTTTCTTTTTTTTTTTAAAAATTTGTTAGTCGACATTTTCATATATTTTTCGATTTTGAAGGATTTTATCTTAATTTGTTTGTAAATATTTTTGATGATTAGAGTGATTACTAGTTTTTCTTACATTTTTATTAGACATTTTAACACATTTTTTTCGATTTTTAAGCATTTTATCGTAATTTTTGTTATAATTTTTTGTGATTATGGTGAATAAAGGATTATTCATAGTGTAGCGTCAGTAGATAAATAGTAAAAAATGTTCGGATCAAATTTTACACAATTAAACTTACTTTTGAATGAGCGAAGTGAGAATTAAAAAAATATATTATTATTATTATTATTATTATTAATAATATCATTTGTTTACTGTTTAATTATTTGCGAATGTCAATTAGACATATGCTTGAATCATTTTTTTTCTTCTGGAACAAGGTACTCATAAATATGTGGGATGCGGCAGGTCTTCTATTTTGAATATGAGACGAATATTCTGCAGTACTTCCTTCTAGCGTCATCATACAATCTATAGTTCTTTTCAGTGGTGTAAAAATTGTGCTATATTAGTAACAAGATGCAGTGTTTGACTGTCTATTTTTCTCACCAATAAGATTAACACTAGTAGCTAAAGTTATTTATTGTTTTAAAATTTTGTGTGTCAATTGACCTGTCTTCAAAACAGTCAAACAGCGTGGAGTAGGAATTAAAGCTTTTTTTTAAAAAACTACCTGTCCTCGTGTTCATATTATTTGTAAAGTATATTCCTTTTTCACCTTTCGAACGTCAGTGCTTACACTACAGCTTTGAAGACTACCATTCAAGGCGAAATACAGTTCCAACCCAAACTGCTTGCCTCTCGCACGATTTCTCACCCGAAAACAGATGAAGTATTCACTATAGCTAATCTTCCTATGCAGTATGACAGAAAACCCATACTGCGTAAGAAGGATAAAGAGAGGTGCTATTCAAGGAGTAAAGACCTTGAGTTCTACGGAAAAGTCAGCGGTACTCCAATCAAGCACTGCGAATTGGAATTACAATAAGGAGAATCGTAATTCCATTCTTGTCGTTGGGAAAGCAGGGATTGGAAAATCCCTTTTTGCCAAAAGTTAATCCGCGATTGGGCGAACAACGAAGTATTTCAAGCACGAGAAAACACTGAGCTACTTGAATTGAAATTTGCATATTTGCTCACTTTCCGTCAACTGAATTTGCTTGAAAATAACTCTGTGAGTCTAACAGAAGTCTCGAACCGTTTTTCGGTTTTAGGTGACCACTCTAACATTAAAGAACACATATTTGAGTACATTGTAAACCATCCCGGAGAAGTTTTTATTATCCTTGACGGCTATGATGAGTGTTCGCAACAAGATTACATCGCTGAAAACTCGGAAGAACATTAACCAAATGACGCTTCATGTAACATGCCAGTCGCCGCATTATGTTTAAAACTCATCAAAGGAAAAATCCTGAAAGGAGCTGTCGTCATGATTACCTCGCGGCTTGATGAATCAGACAAGTTGGGAGGAATCCATTTTAAACGGTAGGTGGAAATTGCGGGATTTTGGTCAGAACAGGTCAAAGAGTACATTCAAAAGTACTTCAAGAAAAATAAAAGGATGAAGACCGCTGTACTCGAACACGTCATGAAGAACGAGAACCTGGTCAGTTTTGCCGACATTCTTCTGCTCTGTTTTCTGTTGTGTTTCGAGATGGAATTTACCTGAACCGTATCAGAAAACCCTCATGACCTGCTTCCTGTCTCAATAACCGACATTAACACAAAAGTTGTTGATATTTTTTAACTTAAGCACTGCGCCAATTCAGAACACAGAGCTAACGCAATTCCTGAGAAATTCAAGCGTTTTTCTGTCATCAAGAACACGTTAGAGAATTTATCAAAACTAGCGGCTAAACTGCTGATCGAACGTAAACCAACTTTTGATGAAAGCAAGATGAAAGACAGTTTTGAAGCGGAAGAAGTCAACAAACTGAAAGGCAGTGGTCTTCTTTACTGTGGTAAGCCTTTCAGGACTACTTCGATTACAACTACAAAGCATTTCAGCTTTAAGCATTTAACCGTGCAAGAATTCTTGGCCGCTCATTGGTTTGTACAAAAAAAACAGCCTTCCATACATCTCAGGCTCTACGATGGTTTTTCAATTCATGGCTGGCATTTTCTCCAAGATGAAAAACGAAGATCGAATGGTAGAATTGTTAACGGACATCGAAGCTGTTAACGGCAGAGTGGGCCTTCTTGCAGTGCAGTGTCTGAGTGAATATCATGACAAGGAATTCGCTAAAAATTTCATTAGGAATCATTCCCCAAAGTTTTGTGAATCAAGCCACGGCTTGTATGCTGAAGATTTTTCAGATGTAGACTGCATTACACTAACATATGTGGTGGACATTATAAGTGAACTAAATAAAGAGGAGGCTGGGGAGGTACGAGACAAATGTACTGAGAAGTTCACCGCGGTTCAGATGTTGGACATTAATGAATCACAGCTAACACTGTCTGGATTACAGCGACTCTGTAATTCACTGGAAAATGAACACTGCTTTGTGTCCAAACTGAAATTTTTAGTTCTAATATGCCTGAGGACTTTCTTGATGTTTGTAAGAAATTAGGAGAAAGTAAGTTAATCCACCTAGATCTGAGTTCTAATATCACCGATACCGGTCTTACCAGACTGAGTGAAGCATTAAAGCATCCAAGCTGTAAGCTAACCGAACTACACCTAAATTTTTTTTCACTGATACCAGCATTGCCAGTTTATGTAAAGCACTACAGCATCCAAGCTGTAAGCTAACCACACTTTGTCTGCAGAGATATAATATCGCTGATACCGATGGTGCCAGTCTTTGTGAAGTAATAATCTGATTGGTGTAAGCATACCCTATGCGGTGATCTGATTGGTGCGAGATACATACCCTAATGCAACGATCTAATTGGTGCGAAATATATACCCTAATGCCGCGATCTGACTGGTACGAGCAACATACCACTCAATACGCTTACATAGTTATAAAGTAAAAAAGCAAATGAAACAGGTGACCAGCCAAATTGGACACTCAGTAGAAGCACAGAACATACTTACACTAAGCGGAATTTGCCTGATTGGATGAGTATGGCAAATTTTTCATTCCTTTATTGACAGCGGGACTGAATACAAATACACTTCAGCGAAAAAAAAAAGACGCTCTCTGGTTTAAGAATGTCCCTTTCAATAACATCCTCTTGCTTTATTTATATTCCTCGTTACAGTATCTTTAAATGTTATATGAAAAAGGTATCTTCGGGAGTTTGTACAAGAGATAAAGTGACAGCTGTAAAAGCGAGAGATGGTCTGACGGGGACGGGGGATGGGGGTGTGTCAAACGACTAGCAATGGTAAACTGCTTATTGGACGAGACTCTGACAATCTAGCCCGGTCGTAGTCTCTCTTTAGTGTCACACAAGACCAAAGTGTCACGGTATCACGTAATATCGTGTCTCTCGCATATCAGAAGTAACTGTTTCCCGCAGCAGCTCGTCTAAAGTAGTAGTACTAGTAAAACCTTAGCCTTGTCATTATGTACTTAAATGTTGACGTTGGATCCGTACTGCTAACGTGACAGACAAACATTGTCATGCAAGCAGCTATAACGGCCGTGATCAGAAAGAAACAGAACATTGCTTGACCGGGAGTGAGACTGACTTTTTCGTCTGCGAAGGGAACAAAAAAGGAACTTATACAAAGCTGACCGTAAAGCAAGACCTGTGAGAAGTTCAAGAAAAATTGCAATTTTGCTGAATAATTCCATGTTCAAGTAACACAGTGACCCGGCTACGTCTCGAACCCAGACCTCTCAACCCGGAGTCGATCGCGTTAACTGTTCAGCCACCACATCTATATATCCACTCCGACGCAATAGACGTTATCCCGATTACCTTGTTTTTTTTTTTCCTCACATGCTTTGGAAAACACCTCCCTTTCCCATTCCCTCATTAAGGTATTCTTTACAAATTTAAATAGGAATTAAACATGAGTAGTTACAATGGTAAACTTATACTTAATTTAATTGGAACATGATCAGTGACTAATGAGCCGTTAATTAAAAAAACAACAACAACAACAACAGCATTGTATGATGTACCTCAATAACCGGAATCAAACAAATCCTGTATCATTAGGGTTTTCGGTTTTTCCGTGTATTAATACATCTTTGAATGCCAATCTCAGAAATACTAGATGTAAGCTATATATTCCCCAGCCTTGCATTTCAAGCAATGGCGAAGCTGTGTAATGAAAAAGCCCATGCAAAAGACGAACACCGAAACTCTCCGAGTGATTTTACAATGGAATGGAGAAACTGCTCCCACTCCTTCCACTAACGACAATAGCAGTAGTAAATTTCAAATTGTAAACTTGGATTTCAATTCAATTTTAGACCCTCCAAGAATAATTGTATTATCACAGAAGTCCTTTATCAAAGATTTAAGAAACGTCACTGCATACCGCTGACTTGAGCTGCAGGCGTGACTGTGTCTTGACCTCTGTCACGTGACTCTCCAGCAGGAGTTGGCCTTCCATCTACCGATGTTTGGTTGTTCTGGGCTTGGTCATCTTTTTTAGCCTCAGAAGTATCTGCAGTGTTATCTTGTTTTTCAGTAGTTGCATCATTGGCCTGTTTAGCTTCACTGAATTTCTGCATAGCAGCTACGATTACAAAGTGAGAGACGACATTCATTTGAAAGTAAGTCAGTAGTAGCTGTCATCATTTTTCTTTTGTAACAAAATTCGCCTCAGCAATTTGTCTTATCATTTCTCTCCGTTTCTTGGCTATCATTGTTCTTTCTTGGTTTATTTTTGCCTTAGTTTGTTTTCGATCTGAAAAAGAAATAGCGGAGCTCGAGCGGAGCGCTCATTTCCAAGAAATTATGATAACCCATCGAGCCGAGAAAATCCCTTGCTAACGTCCTCTTAATTCTGTCTGAACTCTTTAAATACTGTGTTACACAAAATATCTGCATACGAAAGCAAACCAAAGAAAAATGAAGACTTTTCAAGCCACACTGAGTTATCAAACATACAAGAAAAACCCATAAAACTGTTCATGGGGTTCGGCGCGCTTTTTCGTCATCTCTTTTTGTAAGGTATATTGCTGGATTCTAATTTCAACGGTTTACCCCTTTGAACTTCTTATACAGGTGCTAATGGTCAAAAATAAGTAACTGGGAGCGTCACACAATGGAATAGAAAATAGAAAGGCCTCTCTCCCCAAAACCAAAGGGTAACCATTATGGGGATCTCCCAAAGGGAAGTGATCACAACAATAACTTCACTCAGAGCAGGGTTACTTAAGGGATTAGATCTCTTAGTTTTGTCAAAATACTAGTTGAAGATGAACAACCTCTTCTTTCTCTTACTGTTCGGAGTGTGCATGGTGTCTGACCTGTGTATTGTTCCTTTCCCATCTCTGCATATATGACGGTAAATAGATCTAGCGTCTTTTTTGTTACAGGATGTTCCTCTCCATAGACAGACTGACGTAATTTTACGGCCTGAAGGAAAGTTCAGAGTAAAACTTCAAATTGAATCAGATAATTACAAGTGAGACTCACTTACTCTTCATTACCGAAAGATGGCATGATCTAGCATCCTCGGCTTTAGTTTATTCTAACTTTCAAGACAAAATCCATCTTCAAATCCAACAATAGCGAAATACCGGGTCACTTCGATCGGAAATATCAAACGCACTGACTGACACCATGCCCCATTTACAAGCAATTGATTCGTCTGTTCAGATAGGGAAACGAAGCGAATCTTCATGTACCTTTGTTGCTTAACACTGAATTGTTTGTAAAAAAAAGCACCATAGCAAACTTTGGATGAATGATATTTGTGCTTACGCTGATAGAAACTACTTCTGAGTCTAACCAAATCAATGAATGAAAACAAGATGAATATCACTTAGCTTTTTGAACTATGAGATACTGTCATTCCTTCTAATAAGAGTATAACTTAATCATTACTTCCTTAGGGAAAAATAATGGAGAAGTCTTTTTGATATACTCAGGTTGAGTAGTGCTGTTTATTTTAAGTACATTAAGAGGTAAACGTTTTCGTTTAATCAAGCAACTAAAATTACAAAATAGTCTATAAAAAAAGGATGTATGTGTGAAAAGGATCACACGCACCTGGCGGGGCTCTTCTCTCACATGACCAATTGGTCATGCTTACCTTATGCTTACCACTGCTACCCTAATTTTTAAAAAAAGTTACACCTGCTCAGTGGCAGATCCCGGGGGAGGGTCCGGGGGGTCCAGACCCCCCCATCAGACCTGACACTTACAACTTTGAGACTGAAATTCTTACATCCTCAGGATCCTATATCACTTTTTAACTGGCTGATTTTTTWAATTAATGAATCCAAGTAAACGGTAAGTGGCCAAGGAATTATAAGGTGCAACCGCGACTGGTGGGAGGGGGTGGGGGGGGGGGGTGCTGGGGAGAAGTAATTTGCCTCAAAAGAGTCCAACAGTACTTTCTGAACCAAAGTTTGGACCCCCCCAATCAAAAATTCCTGGATCCGCCCCTGCTACTTCAAAGGTTATAGACAAAAATACCACCTCACCTTGCCACAGTATTCTAATGCCAGCTGGGCACTGCAAGAAAAGACACACAAGACATAAACACACTAATATCAATATTAGACCAGGGAGTATACTGTCACACATTTCAAACATCTTCCCTAGGTGTTTGATTATCACTAATCCTGGTTTATCTGAATATAAAAACTATATATGATTATTGCCATAGGTTGGATTAGGACTGATCCTGCACGCTTTAAACAACAACTGATCAGAGAAAGGTACTTTTGACTGAATAGTTTACTAGTAGAACCCAAAACTTCACCATACATCACTACACAAAATAAAGGGTTTGCCCTCATGATTATGATCAACTCAGAAATACAACATGCAACTCTCATATTGCAAACAGAATTTGGTTCCAATTCATGGCAGACTACAGCTTTTGAAAGGATGGGATGGAGGAGGGCTATCAAAATTCCACACTTAACTCAGATGGGCATTACCTGACGGAGAAGCATTACAACAAAGTTTTAAGGTGGGACTTCATTAAGACTTTTATGTGCTAAATTTAAGGCCTTAGCTCACAATAAGACTACCTTGTGTTTGATTTTTTGATTTCATGACTTGTTTTTATTAAAAAAATAAAATAACTGTTGAAGAGTCTTACTCTCTTTGCTTGAGGCACATGTGTGCAAGTTTTTCATACTCATTGGCAGACCGAGCTTCAGCTGAATGTTCCTGTGGATCATGTTTGACAGCGGGCTAAGATCAAACAAAGTTAACATTCTCAGTTTATCAAGATTCACTATATTTTCTAAAGTCAGTTACACACTTCAGGTTATCATCCAAGAAAGTACTTAAACTTTTATACCTTAACATCAGTATGCAAGTTCTCCATAATGTGACTTCTCTAAACATTTCCTATGGTACTCGTTACGTGAAATTTGTTTAACAACTAAAAGCTTCTTGAGTTTGTGATCATTTCCTTTATTCTCAAGACCTTAATGCTTGATTCAGGGTGATATTTATGGGAAAAATTGAATTCTTATCTCCCCTTAAGTAGTTAAGGTATTAAATCTGCAGACTTGAGGTAAATGAGAAACACACATTGGCTAATATCTGCTGAATTATGCTAGTTTGCACGGATCCCTGAAGTTTCCTATTAAAAGAACACTACATGTATCTGAAAGAACAAATGGATCAATTCTCCTACGAATGTTCAAATTATGAAATCTTTCTGACAGTGTATCTTTCTCTCAAGGTATCCATGGTTATTTCATTGGTAAGTACAAAAAACATATCACAACACCAGAAATGGTTGCCAACCTGAGATCCTGTGGTCTTTGTTGTATTTCCTGTCGTCTGCTCAGATGGTAAGGCACTACCTACACTATCTGTTGTATTATACAGACAGTTGTCAATAAATTGAACTGAATGCATACTGTGGTTTAAAATGTTTTTGCAACATGGATGGCAACTGGAAGAATATTAAAACTAATTCTGAAGCACTTTGACACAAATGTAATGACTGTAAAGGTAATTGTTTCAGCATTTTAAACCAAATTGTACCAACAAAAAAAGATGTAGTGAGTACCAAGAATGATAACTTTTAACTTGCAGTTTTTGTCTGCATCTACTTAAATCACTCAGCACCCACAAAAGTAAAAGTAGGTGGTACCGAACATTATGAAAAACCTAACAAAAGTGCTGAGGGTAAGCTGGAACCATTAACAAAACACCTACTGTAGTTACTTTAGATCTGGAAACATTATTATTTCCTAAAGATAGAGGAGTTAGTCTCATAAGCAGAAAAGCCCCCCTCTCCAAGATCAACAGTATCTGACATTCCAAACTCACCTGATCCATTCTGTCCTGGCTGCAACATACTACCTGCAGTTATCAGAGATGTTTCATAATAAAGTTTTTCTGCCTGGGCAAATGAAACAGCATTTTCATCTAAAAAAAATTAAGGGTTACTAACATGAAATTTTTAAAACCTTATCAATGACTTAAAAAGGAAGTGAAGGCATTTTAAGATCAAGTGCTGTTGTCACTGCAATCAAAGTAACTGTAACAAGGATTTACAGACAAGGTTAGAAACATTTTAAAGGATTTTGACTCATAATTTAAAGATACAGTCTCCAAGCTGGCTGTAGATCTCAGCTATCTGCCAAAAAAATAAAATAATTCAGATTAAAATAAATATTAACAATATTCAAAACAGTGTTTAATATAAATTTTTTTAAGCATTTGTGGACATTACTGCAATGCTGTAAATGTTAGAGTGCTTATCAGTTGGGTGTCCTAAATCAAAACCAAAGTGATCACAATAACCAGTCAGAAAAATAGAGAATATATTTAAGAGCCTATTGAGAACTCAAAGTGAAACACTCAAACTGCTGATAGTGCAGGAAAATATGGGCAACCAAATCATCTTGGTTTTAGTTTTCCTTCTGATTGGTTGAGTGTATTTGCAAGTTTCCTGGACCAATCATGGAGCAAAGTAAAGCAAAACCAAAATGAATGTAATCTCTGATTACTTTCCAGACTCAATTGAAGATTGCTCTATTTTGTTCATTGCTCTTTGGATTGGTCAATAATTCAAAGAAAGAAAAGGCTATGAAGCATCAAATTTTACCACAAGCTTTACAAATCAGGTGAAAAAATACATGTGTACTACAAAGCAACATACATTGTCTGTCATAGTGAGAAGCAATTAGTCACAAAAAGTAAACGACACAGTAAATAAGACAAAAACAGTAAAAAAAGAACCAAAATTCTGTCAAAATACTCTACATGAAGGACATTGCCACTACAGAAAAAGATATCAAAAGGAAGACAACAAACAGATTTCATGATCATGTGTAAAAATGCTATAATTAGGCAATGAATCATTTACAACCACATGCAAATTAAGGTTAGATTATTTATCTAAGCTTTTCTTTTGTGCAACCATGAATATCAAATGTAGATTTGACCCCTAGTTTTTCAATTTTTTTAATTCAGAAACTTTCTTAATTTGTCAAGAAATTTGGAATGCAGAAGGATGACAAATACTCACATTGTGAAGGCATTCAGGAAGTTGGTGAAATTGAGATCCTTCTTTCAATCCTCGCACACAGGCCAACAGACAGTACAGAGCATGTCTAGAATTCCCTTTCTTCTGTTTGTGGGATGGAAACATCATTAATATCTTAATGATGTAGCTGATAACCAGTTAAATAAAAAATTGAACAGAAATATACTGTCTCATCCACAAATGAAAAGTGTTATCTACCCACCTTGAATCTGAAAAAGAGAAAATAAAAATTGCATCAGTGCTATGAAAACAGTTAGTTTTAAATTTGTTACAGTTTTTCAGGGATGTGAAAGGAAGCACAGGTAGAGAGAAAAACAAGGGAAAAAATGAAAAAGACGAACAAGTATGAATCATAAATTTTTCTCGGGTCATTCACATATGATCAGACTGTGTTCTTAGTTTTGAAGTTTGAAAAACTTTGAAACTCATCACAACTGAAAAACAAAGAAAAGTAAAGGCATTCCACGACCCTGTGCCTCATTACACAGCGTTAGCTGCAAGGTATTTTAGAACTTACTTGATTCCTTTTTCGTAAAGTAAGTGCCGTTCCTGATCATTGAGGGGCTCCTGGGGTAACTTCTCTTCTGGCAAGGGGTCACTGTTTTCATTAGCTTGACTACCAGATTGTTTATCAACTTCAGTTTTCTCTACATGGGCATCCTCAACTCTGCCCTTCGTGTTCATTTCATCACCTCTATCGTTGGAGACTTCTTCAGATTCCATCTTCAAATATAGTTGTACATGATATCTACAATACGGAAGTTATGATGCAAAGGAAAAGATAAAGAACTGTTGATCGTAGAAGTACATTTCATTTGCACCTCGCAAAAATTTCCGCTTACAATGTCATGTAATTTAAATAAAAAATGTCATCGATATTGGAACAATCCCGTGTATCTTTGCAATCACGACTTAGCCATAACACGATCAAGAACGAACGTTATGGATGTCCAACCACTTGTAAGTCTCACTTCCATAGATATCCACGAATCTGAAGCAAAAGTGTTTGATGATCATGGAGCATTTATTTCGCTTCTATCTGAACACGATGTACCTTGTTCCAGAGGTAAAGTGCGTGTAACTCGACAAGGGAAAGAGGGAAAGACTGCAATCGTCACTTTCCACGATATTGGACAAAATCACACTTCAGCATTTTTGGGTTTCTTCAACTTCCACGAGACTCGTCCCCTTCTCGATCATTTCTGCATCTACCACATCGATGCACCAGGCCAGGAGGAGGACAGCGAGGATCTGCCAGAGGAATATTCATACCCGACAATGGACGAGTTATCGGACATGGTAGGAGAAATTGTGAGTTATTTCGGCATCAAACGCTTTATTGGCTTTGGAGTCGGTGCAGGAGCCAATATCCTCAGTCGATATGCGCTGTGGAACCACACGAAAGTCGAAGCGTTGGTTCTGGTGGAGCTTGTTGCTTCTAATGGCGGCTGGATCGAATGGGGATATCAAAAGGTATGGACTTCTTAAAACGAAAATTTAGCTCACATAATTTTTTAGCAAGTGTGCAAGTGGGATGCATCGAAATTAATAATTTGTCGAATTGTGCGTTTTTCACTTACAGGAAAATATTTGATTGTTTTTACTCGTTTAAGAATGATTTGTGCATAGGTGTTTTTCTCTTGCGAAGATACAAATTTTGTACCTTTGACATCAACAAGCAGGGGGACGGGGTAGGGGGAAGGTGTGTGCGAACGGTGAAAATTTTAAAATCTTTTGTTTAAGCTTACTGGTGAAACTTTAAAAGAATAACCCGAAGGGCTTCACAGAATAAGTGGAATTGTGAGATCGATGGGAGTGGATTTCTGTCATGTGATGCATCCAAAGTATATGAGTGAGATACATTTTTTTCAAGCTCTGAGCACCACCTAAAGGAGTAGTTACAAAGGAAACCGATTAAAACGAAATAAAAGGATATCCTCTGCCCAATTACTAAACGTTTTTCAGGAAAGTGGACATAATGTTCTTCCCTTATTCTCAGCTGGGATTGGCTACTTTTCTTGAGAAGCGATGAAAATTTGAACATTCTGTTTTTGTGTGGACAGCACAATTGACAAATATTATTCAAACATTTTAATCTTTTATTGATAACTACAGGTTGTGGTATTACAGCATGTTGATAACATATTCAATATTAATGAATCAAAAGTTTAAGTTATAAAACAAAACTTATATGATTTGGCTTTCACCTTGTCGCCATTTTTGCTTTGTAGTTGTGTGTCAAACAGCTACAGAAAAAGGGTTTGACAACTTTTGTGGAAGACTACCTTCTATGGCACCACTTTGGTAAAAAAACAAAGGATGAAAATCTGGATCTTGTACATGCCTTTAAACAGAGCCTCCATTCAGTCCTGTCCCCTCGCAATCTCTCTCTATTCATCAACTCCTATCTCCATCGCACGGATCTTCAGATTCAGCGGCCTGATCCCACTGGTGGTAAGAAAGTGCAGTCATTGAGGTGTGCTTGTTTACTGATAACGGGAGCTAACTCTCCGCACCAAGATGATGTCATTGACACCAATTCAAGGTTGGATCCCACAAATTCCAACTACTTTAAAGTGTCTGACAGTGGTGGTATGCCTTTGGAGGAGCAGCCTCACAAAGTTGCTACATCACTGATCTTGTTTCTTCAAGGCCTTGGCTACAGTAAGTATACATGATGACCTACCACTTAGCGGACACTAACATATGAAAATGTGTTTTAATTAAATGATAACTGTTGCCTGGAGGTACCACTGCATTTTTCTTGAGATAGAGGCTCAGGTGCAACTGGCTTGCTATGTGTTTACATGGCAGGATGTTTGCAAAGGGTTGACATACTACCACTGCCTTTATGATCTGTGTCTAAGATCTGACTGAAAACAAAAAAGAAATGTAATCATATCAAACTTTCAGGAAAAAAGTTTCTTGGGCTGAAAATAGAGCATTATGACAAGTAAAACATGATCCTGTGCAACCTGCAATTTCTGTTCAGATGTTATTAATTTGCTGGTGTTGATTCTTTTATTCATTAGTCTTACTCATTAGTCTTTTTCGTCCTACAGGATAGTGTATCTTTTATTGTCACACCTGTCTTCATTCCCCTTTTTTGTGTATTGTTTTATTAGTCATTTTAAATTTTCTCTTGTTGTTTGTTTCCAGTGACTCGCCTTCACACAAATCCTCCCAAAGTCACACCACCAGCTACAAGAGAACCAAGTGTGTGTTAAAGTCAAACCAAGCCACACCTCAGTGGTAACACAGTCTTCACTATCAGTCAAACTACTGATCACAAGTTATTATCAGAGCACAAGAAAATACAAAAGAAGTTTTAAATAATTCAAATTAATTGACAACGTAGTACAGTACAGGAACCTCAAATCAGAGGCTGCTGGTCAGAGAGTAAGACCATGAAGAGCTCTATGTCCCTTTACCCTTTATCCCCCAACAGTTTGTGGCTTCTAATTTCTCCACACAGTATTGCCCTTGAATCAAATATAAAGGTCATGAGAAAAAAGGAAATGATCACCAATTTAAGAAGGTCCTGATTGTACAACAAATTCTCCTTTTCAGTATCATAGGAAATGTCACAGTACATTGTAGAGAATATGGATATTAATCCTAGATAGTAAAAGGGTAACCCTTTCACTCCCCAACACCTAAATATCATTCTCTGTAGTACAGTCTGCCAAGCATGTCTGATAATTTTATCAGAGGATATGGTGTTAATCCAAACAACATTCCTGGTGGATATTTTTCTTTCTTCTCATCACCTTCCTACCTGAAAATACACAGATACTGTACAGAGAAATTTCCTTTTGTTTACTCCTACTTGTGAGGATTACTTGAAATAATGACAACTTGATGCATGAAGTAGTTTTCACGATAACGTGTAAAGAGAGAAGGCTAAAGCCTGAATGATTATCTGTGTGACTCATTCCGTATCATTTGTCATTCTCAAATAGTAGCATGGTATAGAATGCAGCCAGGTGTATTGATCACTGTTGTTATGGTTCCCTTGTTATCTTGCTGATTTTGAGAATGATATCAAATGAGATCTGCACAGAAATAATTTTAGATCACCTCAATAATTTTGTCACAGTGAAACCACAACACCCTGCTAAATTCTCTGTGATCATAAGACTATAAATCACATTTGTGTTTTGGGCTGAAATGTACTTAATTTGAATGTGCATATCAGGGTGAACTGCCATGTGGGGATTTAAAGCTTGTGACCAATAGTACATTGTCAATTGTTGCTTATACTTGACACCCACAAAATTGGATTTCTTCACTAGTTGTTGATAAAATTGTTGTTGGGATGACATGATATATGGTATTGATTGCTTTCAACAGCTGTGTTGAGTTCATTATAGAAAGATCAACTCAACTGGGAAGCAACTGATTAAGTTGAAAAAAAATTGATGATAAGTAATGAACATGTAGACCACTTTCATAAATGGCTGCCGGATTAAAATTCTTTTGTTTACATATAAATTTGCCTGGGTGGCCTCATTCTCCAGTACAAAATTCAAAAGAATACCTTTTCTCAAGCGAGGCCACTTGGGCAAATTTAAACTAAAGAATATTAATCCGGCAGCCATTTATGAAAGTGGTCTTTATGGCTCTGATTTTCACTTTTCAGACATTCATTGGTGTCGATTTTCATTGATTATTAATTCCATCAGTTGTGTTGGTCTAAGGTACACAGGATGTATTAAAATGCTCTCCTTCTGTTGTATAAATTCAATAATGGGTTAATAATGTGAGAGTAACTAAATTAAAGCCTCCAATTCTTGTGAGGTAAATATTGAATATGAAAGGGATGTTAACAATTTTTTTGCTTACAACAGCCATCTAATTAAAATGCATAGTGACCTGACCTGTTTGTTTGATCCTTTAATAAGCGCTGAAAGAGAAGTCTGGAATTAGATATGCTGCTTAGCAGATGCAATTTTTTTATGTCAAAGATGATCATTAAAAAATGATGCTAAGTTTGATAATTGTGTCGCTAACAAAATGCGTAATTCTGACTGATTCTCAATGGCCCTTATCTGCTACTCAATTTGGCTGGTGCAGGACCAAATTGTCTCATTTGACCTGTCATATTACAAGCACCTAATAATTAGACACTCGGGTAAAATGAGAAAGTTGGACAACAATAAGAGTTACTAGTGCTTAAATGTATACTTTTTTGTATACCTCTCCCTTAGGGGCACTTCCATCATAAGATGAATAAACAAAGGCTTAAAACTATGTAAAGGCAATAAAATTTAGAAATTCAACATAGAATGTTAGGTACAGAAAAGAAAAATAATAACTAGCTACCGATAATTTAGGTTAAACTACACTGTATCACAGTTAATGGCAAGACAAACAATTGGCGATCCTAGCCAGGTTTCAGTGCAAAACCTTTCAATGTAGATTTCATCACATCAACAATTAAGCTACTGCACAACCTCCTAAGTCAGTGGGAAACAAAAAATGAATGAAGGGGGTACGTTTCTAAAGAAACTGTGATGCTGCATCTGTGGGGGTAAGACAACATCATTTGGTTTCATCAACCAACATAAACTGGCAACAGTACAAAGTTTTTAGAGCTGAAATTAGTTGACATAAGCCCTTCATCTTTTGCTCAGAATGTCAGCTTCAGAAATTCTTTACGGTGGCCAAGTTACATTCAGATTTCAACTCAGTTGATGAAAGCAAATTTTCCTAATGCTAAACAACTGCACTTACATGAAGCCTAAACCATCACCAAGACTTCAAAAATGTCAGCTTTATTTTCATATATTAATATTTGTTTGTACAATATAAATTATCTCTGATTTGAAATTTATAAAACAATAATGAAATAATACATTCTGACTGAGAACCAGTCACATGCAAATGCAAACGTTAAAAACTGTCCAGTGAACATGAAGGGAACTCTTGAACTAAATATTGCTGATCTATTACAGGCCAGCCAGTAGCAATCTTTAAGGTGGCTGGATACAGCTTTCCTAAGCTTTCAACTATATTCAGAGCACTCCAAATCCAACTATCCCCCTTTACAGTCCAACTATTCCCAAGTGTTGACTAAAGGATAGAATTTTAAATTAGTGGGCCTGGCATGGTAAATTTCCTCACTAATGTCATGGGGAAATCCTATAAGAGAGTTTTTGGGAATGATTTCCAAAACTTCCAGGATTTTCTTTTTTGGGATGAAGCCTCACTTTTGGATCAATTTCAACCAATTCAATCGGGCTGTTTTAAAATTAGGATGCTCTAAAAAGTTTATTATCGTCAGAGCTTAGGAACACTGTATCCAGCCACCTTACTAGAGGAAACATGGTACCTTTGCCTAAAACTGTTTCCCTACCAAAGGGGCTATATCACAGTATTTTAGGTAGGAAGTTGAATTTGTTTTTATAATGACGATCTCTGAACTTGAAAAAAGCATCACATTTTCAAAAGAGCTTAAGAGAAAACAAGCACAGAATCCAGACACTGGTTGGCACATTTCCTAACTAACATAACCTTTTATACTTTTAATTAACTCCCAAGAGTGATTAACATGTGACTTCTCCCTACAATATCCATACATTGTCCAGCAACCAGGTAATGAGAATACTCAAACTTGTCTGGAAGAAGTTTTAATCTTGATCTAATACCAAATTCTCATGACTTATTTACAAGAAAATGTGTAGCAGCTACAAAGAGAATTAGATCTTGGGAGTTTAAGGGTTACCAAAGCTGAGCCAAAATATGTCATATTCAACAGCTGAAATAAATATTAAACATGCAGGTTAATGTTTGCTAACTTTGCCAACCAGTGCCTCACCAGTCAGATTTGAACTTGCCTAAAATAATGTGACTCTATAAAGTACTAATTTATTTGCAGTGTGTATCTTAATTAATATTTCTCTTCTTGATGGACATAATTCCTTCTTAGACTTAATTTTAAGCAAAGTGCATCAACATTGCTTCTTCAAAAATTCTTACCTAAAATTGCTTCAAAAATAGATGAAATAAAAATACATGTATATAACAAGAAAACATTTTTAATTAACATATTACAAAATAAATAAGCCATCTTTCAAAGGTTCAAACAACAATTTCAACTTAATGGGTGATAAATGAGACCTCACCAGTCCTTCAGTTTGGCGCAATACCACAAATTGAAGAAGTCATAATGAAAATAGTATTGCTTATTCCCTTATTTTCCTTTTGGATCTTTTATCTTTTGCTCAGAGTTGCCACTGACTCTCCATCACTACAACTTGATTGCATAATCATATACAATGTATCACCTGATGATTTCAGAAAGTGAGTTTTAGAAGCAAGTGAAGTCACTAAATGTTAAAATCTTCGACTACACTTTCACAATTGGCAACATATATATTGACACAGTGTCATCTTAGATTCTGACTTTCAGACAACAACACAGGCTTCTTATTCCCCCTCAATCATTAAACCCATGAAGTGACTACAGACCAACTTCTCCTGTCAAAATTGATACCAGGAAAAATCATAAGGGCCAAGAGCCACACTGCATGGCATTACAGACATCTCAGTTCTCCTTTTCCTTATTTTGACCATATACAGTAGTTTGTTACCTGACAACTGGAGTGGCAACTTAAAAAACTGCTTTAATTATATACTATTAAATAATTATTTTTCTTTACATCTATAATGTATTTTGGTCAACCCATTTTGTCTGAAACTGTATGAGTCATGCTAAGTCAGTGTTACTGACTTGCCTCCATAATTAGAAATATTTACCGTATGTATGTTTTGGCCTCACCCATTCAATATGGAAAAACTTGAGTAACAGCCTTAGAAGCCTTGTTGTTGTTGTTTGTGCAGTGTATATCCTGAACACAAATTTGTTTCCTCCATCAATCAATCCATCAGTTATGTGTGCATGTTACAGCCATGGGCAATGAAATATTTGTTTTAGTAAAGAGTATCATCTTGTCTGATGGTGCTGTGACTGGACATGACACAAAGAAGCATAATGAAAGTTTCTCCTTGTTGTACAGCTGTCCAAGAACTGAAATCAAGAAAGTCTATAGGATTAAAGGAGAATATTATATAGTTTTCATGTTAGCAAAAAAAACAAAAAAACAAGTTATTTCCTTTTTATGTATTTACGTGTCATGCTTGAAAGTTTGTTGCTAAGAGAGACAAGCCAGATGAAAGTGGAAAATATTCAAAGTTTGGATTGTTCAGTGAGGCCACTTTGTTCCTCTCCTTTCTGTCCCAATTTTTACCCTGTTCTTCAATGTAATACTGAGGCATATTTTGCAAATTCTGTTACCCTAATATGGTAAAATTACACACAATGGAGTAATTAGAAATAAATGGAAAACACAGATAATTACTTCTGGTGAATCAAAAATCTGTAATCTACTCTAAGAAACAGACACTCACAATTGATGTCTTCAGAGCAACACAGGCTAATCTTCAGCACACAGCACTGACAGGGAAAAAAATGTTTACAGTAAACCTCAGCAACTTAACTCTTAACACTCTAACATCAAAATATATATATTCTCCATACTGTGCCTGACCTATGGGTCTGACAAGGTGAATTCGTCTAACAAGCAAGAGCTCCTGTAGTTGGCGATAATTTCCTTCCATCTTGTGACTTCGATGCATGATTCAAGGGTGATATTGTAAGGAGAAATTAGATGCTAGTCATTCTTTGGGGGCAAAGAGTTGGTGTAAGTCGATATTTTCCCTCCAGAATAGTGCACATATATGAACTTCATATAATTATACATTGTAAGTCCACATAATATGTAGTTGAGAAAAATTGAACAATTAGCTGTTGCAGGTCTCCAGTGGATTTAAACTTGTAAATTCTAATAAGATTCTGAAATATCCCCCGAGTGGTTAATAGTTTCAGAGTTTTTGTTTATCATCTCTTCTTTGAATACATCAGAAAAAAGTGTAAGCAAGGGTTACATTATGGTTTAATTTTAAGTTAATAAGAAAGCTAGAAAAGGGGAAATGACAAGTTCATCCAAGCTTACACTCACAATATCTCAATATCATTTCCCACTAACAGTGAGCAAAAATTACCTTCCTTACATTTTTCTCAAACCCACACTAGAGAATTTGGCTTTGAACCAAACAAAATCCCCTTATAGTATTTTTTTTCTCATCACCTCTCTACTTGACACTACCCAAATACTTAAAGGAGAAATTACTCATTCTCACTCAGCCCTAAAGGATAATGTGCAAAAAATGATGTCTTTTGACCCATCTAAAAAACCTAGTCCGCACACGAGAGTTTAGAATTTCACGCATCCATTATTGTCCACCATCAACACAAGACTCTACAGTGAAAACAATTTTCAGTGATTTCTTGGGATTAGCTTGGATGTACCATGTCAAATAAATTATATTCTAATGCTTACCTTTTAATATATATTCAGTTAACAAACCAGGAACTATTGGGCTGTCAGCAATGAGGGCCTCCATGACTGAAAGACACGAAGAATACCCAAACTTATCAAGTAGAAATTGTTCTATTGAATTCACAGTGAGAACTATTTTGCAAGGAAAAGTATAGCAGTTAGAAGGGAGAATTTACCAGCAGATCTTGAGAGTTAAGTTAATCATTCAGAAATTACACTGTAGATGCCAACTCTCCAATTTAAACAGTGGTGCAAAGTTTATATAACATAATTATATAAACTGTAACCTTGATTTGGTACAAGATACATAACATTTTTGTTGCATAGCATTGTATTTACCCATTTCCTGAAGCAAAAAGAAGAAGTCTGAGAAAACTGTGGGCTTTGTTCCACAGAAAATTTTTAAGAAGCATTCTACCAAATTTTGCCCTAGATGAAGGCTATCATGTTTCTCATCATCTATTATTAATATGCTAAGTGTTTTATTGTATGAGGTGTTCACTTTCCATTGTGCAAGTGTACATGTACATGTATATTAGTGCATCTAAATGAACTAACAAATTTTCCTCTTCTTCATCTGTTTTTCATCGAGAAATTTTTTTATTTAATTTATCCACTAATGAGATACACTATAGTGATGTCATTTTGTCAGCTGTGGACCTAGCCGACTCACTGGGATTCGAATGTTTCGTCAGTTGTGGGCTTTTGGTTCACCATTATCAAACATCTTTATTGAAGACTTTAGTGCCAGACAATCAAAGAAGTGCATTCGAATCCTAAAAGGAATTAAGTCACATCGTTATGAAATGCTCAGATAATAAAGTATACAAAACGATTTGATATTTACCCAGTGAGTCGGCTAGGTCCATAGCTGACAAAATGACATACATTAGTATTATGACATCACTATAAAATATCTCATTAGTGGATAAATTAACTTAATGATCAATAATAGAATTTCTCGACGAAACAATCTGTTACAACAGCAAAATGCTATAATCCTTTCTTGAAATGAACACTCACAATTCTTCAATCAATTTATAAACAAGAACTTTCATTGAATCAGATGCAAGATTTGAAATTGAAGAACCTAACTAGGGTGTATTCAGTCATGTAACATGTTTTGACCATCAAGCTTAGACAATCACCAAAGCTAACAGCCTCTTGCGTCACACAATACCATAATGATAAAGACTGGCTGTCTAAGTCTTGACTCACATCCAGTTACTATTTAAAGGTCTTCATTCTTAAAAGCCAAAAAGCTTTTTTCAGACAGCATTACTATTGTTATGATAATTTACTATAACAATCATGATGCTGCTTAAAGAAAACTTTCTGAAGATGAGGAATAGTCTCTTCTCCCTTTTGATTCCACATCTTTAAGGTTTGAAGAGACCCTCTGCCATACTGACACAAATTACAGGTTTCCTTTTCTCTTATCATTTAAAATTGGCTGCTACATGAGTTGTTATCAGCTTTATAGAATAAATAACATAGCTTTGCTAGGGGCTAAATAAATCTCATCCATCCCCCTGATGAAAAATATAAACTGCCCCTAAATTGCACATTGTGGTTGTTAAGCATTTGGCTAAAGGATATTAAAAATCTCAACCAAGTACTAATAATCTCTTATACCCGAATATTAGTATTCACATTCTCCACACGCGTCTCTCTACATTTCCTCTGGGAATGACAAAGAGAATTTGTTTTGAAAATCAGGAGCTTCTTAGGTGGTGATTACTTCTGCTATCCTCAAGACTTTCACATTTGGTTCATGGGTAATATTATTAGGAGAAATCAGAAGCCAGTCACTCTTTAGGGTTCAAAGGTTAAAGTGAAACCATAAACAGTTACATATTACAAGTGAACCTACAGGAGATTCCAACCACAAACAAATTGGTATTAAGTAGACACCCAAAGGGAATGCCAGGATGGCCGCTTTTATACTGGTGACTGCTTAATAGAGGCTCCCTAGAGTAGGGCTATTATGAAAAATGCCATTTTACACCACAATTGACCACTTAATCTACACAAGCTAGCACAAAAATACTTTTAAAATTGATTTCTGGAGATAAACATGAACTAAACTTCAATTGAAAGATTATTCTTAATTGAATGTGAGTGGTCCTGCTTTTAGTGACCATTCAATACTGGTGGAAGACAATACAAACAGGCCATTGGAACTCAGTAAAGTTGAACATAGCCACTGAAAAGAAGTAAAAATTGTAATGATTAAGGGGGAAAAATTTTGGAACTTTGAAAACCAACTGCCTAATACAGGGTTACTGATTAATACAGTGCCGCTTGTGTCAGGAAATCAGAATGAATATAGTCACAATAGGAGTATTTTGATATTGAGACTTACTTTCAATCAGTTGTAGTAGTACTTTATTGCTTGGACCTCCATCACAATCATCATAAGGAATCACTGTGGTTAAATACTAAAACATAGAGATATTTAAGGCTATATGTAAAAGTAACTCAGGCACAGTTAAAACCAAAGTCAGTGCAGTGGTTAGTTCAATTAGTTTAACTTGTTTGCCTCCTTTTGAGTAAATATTCACTCCAAATACCAGTTTGTTGGTGATGTGGAGGTGCTTACTTAGCTAAGCAACCAACCACCGTATTGCTTGGCATATACCTCCAAATGAATGCATGTCATTAAAGAGCATTTCAGAGCCTCCGCATTTCAGAAATAATATAGGGTGGCAGAGCTTGCCCAGAGACCCCAGGAAAGAGTTCTCAAATTGTCAGCCATCTACTCCATGCATTACTGAGAACCCTGTCTTAATCAAAACAATAATTAACATTAACTTACTTTAATTAACATTAATTAACATTTAATTAACATTTAATTAATTAATTAACATTTAATTAACATTAACTTACTTTCCCAGAATACACGGAGGAACCCTTTTTTCCTTTTCCTTGACCTGACTGTGATTCTCGTATTTTGGACTGGACAGCTAATAATGTTGATATAAATTTGTTTTTAATTTCTTTTTCCCTTTCCAATTCTTCTCTCAATGTTAATTCTTCCACAAGAATATCAGAGTACTCTTTGACATAAGCAGCCATCTCTTGTTTTAAATCTAAGAGTTCTCCATTTGAAAGTTCAGAAAGCCCTGCAAAAAATGTGCATCTTTAATTACTCAGCTGTTGCTACCATATTGAAGCTTAAAAAGTTGTATATAAAATGACAATAGAAACAAATTTTCTTTGTATTCCCACAATTAATAAACTGAGAGAAGAGTGGGGTGCTCATTTGACGGTGGGGCTAATTTGTCATTATAAAAAGGGGATGGATGTTTATTAGGGGAAAAGGTGCTTATTAGAGTATGAGTCCTTATTCAAAGGAATGCCGCAATTCCTTAACTACCACCATGTGCAACATCAACATGAGAACATTATTTCCTGACTCTCCCAATATCTTAAATAGAAGATACAGAGTTTTCTGTATTCACATAATATACATGTTAGTCAAATTTAATTACAGCACAGTAAAACATGTTGCCTGAGTGACTGAGACACAGTTGGTTTGAGTTTTGTAGCTGAGCGAGTAACGCAAGTTTTTCTGGACCAATTACACATAAAAAAGGCAAAACCAAAGTAATCCTAGATTACTTTCAACACCCCATTTAGAATAACTTTATCACCCTGTTTAATGATCATGCTTTACTTTAAAATTACCTGCTGCAGCTTGACCCTCATCAAAAGTTGACTGCCGATTATTTGGCTTCCCTCTGAAGACCAAGAAAATTTCATCCTCGTTTTCACTATCAGAATCAACAGTCTTAGAGAGTTGTTCAGATGGATTTGCTAAAGCAGGATCTTCTGTAAGTTCATCCGAACCACTATTTAAAGTCAATTGTGCGTTGAATTTCTCCGCAAATTTATGAAAGTCAAAAGTTCTTGTTGAGACAGAGTTTGAGTCCTCCTCAACTTGCCCAGGTAGAAGATGATTCTTAAACAGAACAAACCAATTAAGTTAACATGCGATAAATTTGTAGCTTATATAAAATCAAGTATAAGTTTATAAACCTGCATCCTACATCTCATAATTTCCCAAAACTCAGAGCAACACATCCTCGGAGACCCAGGGGCAGTGGGTCGATTTCAAGTTAGGGCATGAAGAGCCCCTGGGGACATTGTCTTACAAGACTAGTTCCAAACGGTCGCAGTCGTTCTGCCATCTGATTGGTGCCAGAAAATCTTTGTGTTTTTCTGCCCAATCAGAGTGAAGTGTTCTTTAGAGTCCTTTCGTGTGTTTCAACACGCACATATACTTGTAGCTCAGTTGCTCACTATGTTTGTTTGGACCATGCGATGGAGATTTGCTTGAGGTGAAAAGTTTCAGTCTCAGCATACAATGTAAGAGAAATTGATCAGATTGTCTGCAAAAATCTTACTAGAAATTATACTGAATACTTTCGCATGTTTTAAAGTTTGCGAGGTTTGTATACAACACGATGGTTGCAGCCATTGATATATCGCTTTAAAAGTTAAACAAGATTTAAGCTTAAATCTTTATAGATTTTTTGCATAATTTGCTCTGACTGAAACTTTGCTAATCCCGTGAAGGTATTTCCTCGCACGGGCCACGCAGGTATGTCGAGCAACTGGTACTCGCGCAATTTTCTGTGCGGGCCAAAATCTAATCTCATCTTCGCTTGAAAAAAAGGAAATGCAAAGTGTGGAAACTTTTGCTTATTAGATGTGGGTAGATGACCCTGTACTACTAAGCTGACATTTACAATAAAGCAAACCCGCCCTTTCCATCCAATATTTCTTGGCCTTCGGTTTTGTTTTTCCCATTGAAAACAGCATCGGATCAATTCCCAATGATCAAAGGTATTTAACTTGGTCTTCAACAATCGACCGAAGAGGTGAAATGACAATGACCAAGGGACTACAAGAGAATCCGTGGCCTTCCAAGCTCAAGAATTTCAATACTCTAGGCAGCAGTTGAAAGATTAAACTCTTTCCAAACCCCTTCAGTAACTGTCCGAAAACATCTCTCCTCCCCACGATGTTCTTGTTAAGTTTTTGTTCAGATTTTAATTAGCTGACCGGAAACACAGCTCAGCTTTCTATTAGCACTTGCTGGAGGTCGTCCACAAACTTAATGTTCTCTGCAACCTTGGCAGTATTGTGAACGACTTTACTAATAAGATTAGATTTTGGTGCACACAGAAAGCAGAAAGCTATGTAGGTGAAAGCGCCAGCTGCCCGACATACCTGCATGGCCCGTGCGACGAAATAACTTCACAGGATTGGCAAAGTTTCAGTCACAGCAAATTATGCAAAAACTCTAGAAAGATTTAAGCTTAAATCTTGTTTAACGTTTAAAACGACATATCAATGACTGCAACCATCGTGTTGTATACAAACCTCGCAAACTTTAGAACACGTTCTCTAGTGATACCTGCGAAAGTATTCAGTATAATATCCGGTAAGATTTTCGAGGACAATCTGATCGAATTCTCTCACATTGTTTGCTGAGACTGAAACTTTTCACCTCAAGCAAATCTCCGTCGCACGGTCCAAACAAACATAGCGAGCAACTGAGCTACTAGTATATGTCCATGTTAAAACACACGAAAGGACTCTAAAGCACACTTCACTCTGATTGGGCAGAAAAACACAAAGATTTTCTGGCACCAATCAGATGGCAGAACGACTGCGACCATTTGGAACTAGTCTTGTAAGACAATGTCCCCAGGGGCTCTTCATGCCCTAACTTGAAATTGACCCACTGCCCCTGGGTCTCTGAGGATGAGGGCAACAAGGATGCACATCTTTAATAATAAAAAATTTGTGTCAATCTTATCATTTTAACCTTTTAACACTCAGAAGTGATTATTAATCCAGTAATAGATTATTAATCCACTAACTGCCTCCTATGATTTCAGCACAGCATCCAATAAACAAGCTAGGAGAAGACTCAAACTTATCAGGTAAAAGTTTTCCTGATCTCCAATTATTGTAACGGATTTGGATGGAAATATGCAGTAGCTAGAGGGGAGAATTAACAAAGTACCACTCAAAGTACCACTTCCTAGTCCCTTCTAAATGGAATTTCAGAGCCGCCACCCCCAAGCATTTCCCTGACAGTTTGATGGTACCCATATACACCCTTTGGAAAAGATATACCTGTAGAAAAAAAGTGTCGTGTCTAAGGTCACAAAATGAGGACTTCAACCACCATACCACAGGATTTCATTGGGAATATGAAAATAAAGTGACAGGGAACAGGGGTTTGATTTCAAGGACCCTAGAGGTGAGGGGCAGGGGGATGGGGGTGTAGGGGTAGGAGAGGGGTGTGTTTGACAACATCTTAAATGCACATTCAACTAGTTTGGTGTCCAAAGGAATGGTTAAATGTTTAACATCCTAAGCCACAATCAACCTTGCATGACTGCTGACAAATTACTAAGTGTCAATTGAGTGAGATTTTAAGAACCATTCTTAACTAAAGCAGGAAAAGGGAGGGTAATCTCAGGCTTTACTGCTTCAATAATATTTTAAGAATCTTGTTTGTGGTAGAAACTTGATTTTAAATCAATTACGTATTGGCTAGCGCAGATGTTAAACACCTTTACACTGATAACAAGGGTGTAATCCAATTCCACTTTCAATAATATAAAAAAAAAATTAAACGAATATTTAATTCAGTGTCGCCCCGTTTAAGATCGTTTATACAATCTCCAGTATAAAATATCAGTTCTGTTGTTCAATAGCTGTAACACATGTATGTATATAAAATATAACACTTGACCCCAACCCTAAGACCGAAAGAAAAACAATTCAAAGAGCCATTCATAAAGAAAGCAATCATAAACAAAATCAATTACAGGAGAAACAACAAATGTTCTTACACCGTTACTACACGGACGAAGATGTAACGCCTTGAAGAACTTCACTTCTGTTTCACATCCCCGCCAAACCAAAGGTTCGCCATAAGTTTCCAACGCAGGATCTACACGGTCGAGAATTCTGCAGACGAAAAGACGCGAAGATAACCAAGAATTTCACCGAGGATAATGAAAATTTATAGCACTATATTAATGCGATGTTTTAAAACCTTTCGTTGGCGCAATGCGCTCGGTCACAAAAGTCAGCTGACTGGAAATCTAATGGCAAGGGAAAACAGGTGAAAAGGGTACTGATGATACTGGAAGGATCCTGAGATTTAGTGCCAAAATGAAGATCGTCAAAAGTGTCAATCGTGGAGCTGTTGCTACTAAAATCAGACCATTCACTATTTTCGTCCGAAGGTCCTCCGTCTTCGCTGCCCGCCATGTTGTGTTTCGAAACACATCCGAGTGAGCCTGGTTCTAGGCAATTTCAATCTCCCAGTGATCTTTGCAAAGCGAGGTAGTTCAATATGGCGGCGGTTTCCCGTTTTGAGGAACTTGTCCTCGAAACGTCACGTTTTCCACTGTGGTGACATTTCCCCGTAAAAGCTTACATTTGTAGTGGGAAGCTGTATCCTACCTGATTTTTACGGTTGATTTTAACCTCAGTTCCTCGCAATGGAGTCCACAGCTGCGGAGAGTCAGAAGGGAGATAGAGACGTGATTCTGAACGGCGAGTGTTCAACGTCCCTACATGAAAAAGAGGAAATTAACAAGCCTGAACAGCCACAGAAATTATGCAGTGCAAATAAATTTACAGATCTTAACGGCTTAACGATCCACACTCAATCGCGTCCAAGTACATCAACGAATGAAAATCATTTAACCTCCGGTCATAGTGATCTGTTAGAATACGACCCGTCAACTTCAGAAGAGAAGAATCCCACGGAACAGGCCGAACTTGAAGATCCTTGTGAAAAAAGTACAAATTTAACTTATGTTAGTTACGAGTCTGAACTTCAAATGGAGGCAATTATGGCTCTCATAACAAAGGACCTTTCGGAGCCATACTCAATCTACACATATCGTTATTTTATACATAACTGGCCCAACCTCTGTTTTTTGGTAAGTTTAGTTAACTACACCAGTGTAAGTTGATGCTTGATAGGATCTATTTGCTGGTGAGGCTCTGCAAGAGGCGTAAAAAACCCGGATTTTGAAAGTTAGCGGTCCTTGAAAAGCTTGTGCTGACTGAAGCAATTTCAGCCATCTCTGGATAAATTAATCCTAAGATATTTCCTGAATATCAACCACTTGTGTCCCAAGGGGAATTATATCCCTAAGGGGATACAACCACTAGGAATACACCCTCTAACTGTCCTTGGACATGTGACCCCTCAAGAAGTTGTTTTGGAATTCTTGATCTACGGTATTTAGCAATCCACATTTAAGAAGTTCTCAGTGAGGTTCCATTATATTATTCTCAATGTGCAAGATTTTAATAATGTCAACAGTTGATTGAATTATCCTTTGAGAACAAGAATAATATAATTTTAAGCAGGAGTTTGGTCATTTGTAAAACAGTTCAGTTTATGATGGGTTGATATAAGAAAACAGTTCAGTTTTTACAATTAGTATTACCCTATACCGCTCCTTCAACAGTACCATATAAACTTGACTATCTGAGTGAAATGTACAATAATGACAAAATGACTTCAAATCTCTCTGCATGTTTTGAATGGGAATTAAACTAAAACCAATCCAAGAACAGGGTATCAGTTTATGTTCAGCTTCTTTCTGAGAACAAGATAGTGTGCATTTTTGTGTGAGTATTAGGACAAGGATGGTCAAGCCAAGCTTCACGTATCAAAATTCTACCTTAATTTTTACTAGTATTTGTTATTATTGTACTTCAAGATCATGCAACTCCAATAGGTAATAGGTGGAAGAAGCTCCCTCTAAGAAATCTTCAGACTTCAAATATTTTAACTTTTTATTTAGTGACTTCTCTTTATAGTTATTCTTATTATTATTATTGTTATTATTACTATTAATTATAAGAGTGCTTTTCAATGGAGTGTCATCAAACCAAAACCAAAATAACTACAACAGCCAGTAAGAAGACAGGAAAATACCTCTAGAGTCAATAAGAACTCAAAGTAAATACATCCAAGTAGCATAATTATAAATAACTTTTTATGTGGAAAAAGTTTCAAGACTCTCCTGACATGGATAAGTGCTTATTAGAAAATATCAAAAGTTAGATTTGCCACATGCAAATATTTTTTTGGATCCATTATTCTTATTTGATAATACTGTCTGAGTGTGTAATTTTATTTTAAAATGTTGATACTCGTAGACCACTTTCATAAATGGCTGCCGGATTAATATTCTTTTGTTTAAATTTAAATTAGCCTTTCTGGCCTCGTTCTCCAGTACAAAATTCAAAAGAATACATTATCTCAAGCAAGGCCAGAAAGGCTAATTTAAATTTAAACAAAAGAATATTAATCTGGCAGCCATTTTTGAAAGTGATCAATTGTCATTTTGTATATTGTTAGCAGCATATATTTACAGACCATTCTGAGACTTTAAAACTGGAAAGGCATCTGCTCTAGTAGATTTTTAAGAAACTAGAATTTAACTAGTTATTATGTTTTGTGTAGTTAGCTTCAATGACTAGTCTCTGGCCTTATGCTTTTGGTTAGATTCCATTTTCTGATTAGTAATTTTAGAAGCAGAATATGCAATTTTTGTTGATAAAGGTCATGTATTTTTCAGGCAATGGATGGTGACAACTGTGTTGGTGCCATTGTGTGCAAGCTTGACATGCACAAGAACATGGTACGAAGAGGATACATTGCCATGTTAGCTGTTGAGAAGGAATACAGACGGCAAAAAATAGGTGAAATTTTTTCATAAACTTGCACTGTAGCCTCTGATGGTTTCTAAGAAGTACAGCATGGAAAAAAGTTAAAAAAAATACTTGTTGAAGGATTACTAGTACCCCTAGCAGAGGAGAATAAATTATATAAATTTGTCTTTCCATTCTTTTAGGTTCAAATCTTGTGGTAAGAGCAATCAAGGCAATGCAAGAAGATAGCTGCGATGAGGTAAGAATCTCACCCTCATTTAAAAACTTAGACGTCTTTAACTATCTTATCTTGAATGAACTCTCGCAAGAAAGGGTGGTAGACATGAACAGCCATACAGCCTGTGAAGGGGGTTCTAATGCGAAGAAAGTTTCACTTAAATAGTGGCCAGAGTTGTTATGTTTAGTTGGTTGGTTAGACAAAACACTGGCTTTTTACTTTACTTTTTCCTAATCATCCCAGCTGTCTCTCATTACCAACTTTCCTGAAATGTTTTCAGTCATCAAAAGACTAACCTACTACAATTTTGAAAGTTGATTTAGTGCCAGATGTTAGAGACATCTGAAATGCTTTGGTTTTAAATCACTTTATGATGTGATTGTTTAAAATACCTCACTACATCTTAAACCAATCAGATGCAAAACTAAGTTTTCATGCACCAATCACAAGTGCTTGCTTGGTCTGAACCAATTGATTTTCTTTACTCAACCCTTTGACTCTTAAGAGTGACTAGCATCTAACTTTTCCCCAAAACATCGCCCCTGAACAAGAACAGAGGAAATGATTACCAACTGAAGCAGCCCTTAGTTGTTCAACAAATTCTCCTTGTCAGCACCTTAGGAAATGTATAGAGAACAGTATGGAGAATATGTATACTGATGTAAGGGCTTACAGGGTTTTCCCTAGCCCCTTCTTATTCACCTTTACCTGAATTTCTTTGGTACTGGTTGTACATAGTAGGTTACTGGAGACTCTTTCTTCAGGTTTGCCCTAACACACCGCCTGAGTGTGTGTGCTTTACTGAATTTGCATACAACGTGTTATGCTATTTAAATATGTGTAGTCGCATTATAATGTGCCAATGTTATCACGTGCTAATAAGTTACATCCTCTTTTCTTAAAAAGCTATGCCAATCATTAGCTTTGCTGCATTTTCGACACGATGTACCATAGGCAAGACATTTGTTCCTCAGGTGTTGTTTTCCACAGTTGTTACAGAATTCCCTTTCTTGTTCCTTATGAATGGCATCGATACTTCTGTCCTCTTGATGGCTTTCACATCTTCCTGCCAGTGTCTTCATGTGTTTACTTGTCGCCTCGTGGCTTCTTGCAGTTTCAACAGCGGCTGCAAGGGTCAAGGATTTGTTTCGGCTAATGAGAGACTTCTGAACACCGGGATTTCTTGATCCCCAAATGAGCTGATCCAAAACTCTATCCTCGTTTTCGGTGTTATCGCGAAATTGACATTTCGCCGCTAGATTTTTTAATCTTGAGATAAAGTCATCCACTGGCTTGCCTTGTTCTTGTCACATTCCTTGCATTGTGTATCTGTGAATTCGATGACTCGTCTTCAGCTCCAATTGATTCTCAAACCGTTCGAAGATAAAGGCAGGCTTTTTTCTGTCTTCCTCCTTTGTGAATGTCCAACTGTTGTATATATCCAAGCCTTTTTCTCCTGACCAGAGTAGAATATAGCTAACTTTTTCTTGGTCGTCAGTGTCTTAGAGAACACTTGAAAACATAAGCTGACATTTTTGTCTAAATCTTGTGAATGCGATTATTTGATCCGGAGCATCCCAGTTCATGTATGGCGATACAACAGACGTTGCTGTTGCCATAATTCACTTCTGCTGGCTTCTCTCGATTCAAATTTAGAAGTTATTCTTGTAGAATGCTGCCACCGTGTAGTAGGTTGCCGGAGACTCTTTATTCAGGTTTGCCCTAACACACCGCATGAGCATGTGTGCTTTACTGAATTTGCATACAATGTGTTATGCTATTTAAATATGCGTAGTCGCAATATAAAGTGCCAGTGTTATCACATGCTAATATGTTACACTGGTCGTAGGGGACACCACTTAAACTTAGCTCCTATTGTGGAATTTTAATGAATCATGGATGTAAAGTTTTAGTTACTATGTTATTTTACAAGGATTTCCAGCCCTGAGAAAAGCTGTAACAGTACATGTGTTAAATTATGACAATTTTTTTTCATGTTAGTTATTACCAGCCAGCTGCTTACGTGTCACTTGCCTTTTGTGCCACTCTGTTACATTGACAGATGAATGGCGAAGCATTCATCATGCTTCTTTTGTCCTGAGGAATTTTATGATAAACAAAATGATAGATGGTTGCTCTTAAAGAGAAGTTTTATATCTATGTGCACCCATGTGCTGCTTTCTACTTGGTTAACATGTTGTTTTATTTTAGGTTGTACTCGAGACTGAGGTAACCAACACAGCAGCTCTGCGACTTTACGAGAACCTGGGATTTGTCCGTGACAAAAGGTTGTTTAGGTATTATCTTAATGGTGTTGATGCACTGAGACTGAAGTTGTGGCTAAGATGAAGTAGATATCTGAATTTTTTACTGTTTGAATTTATTTTTTTGTTTTGTTTTGTTTGGACTGTATTCAGTCAAAGTCTGTCTGTTTTGTAAGTAAAATGTCAGGCTAGCAGCCATGTAAAAAATAAATCAATGGCAGTATGTTTGGAAGATTCCAAATGTAATAATTTGTGAAATGTTCCTACTGAAATAAACATCAATGAAATGTTATTATTTTATTTTGTTTTGTACTCTTTTTGCTCTTTTTGCAAAATGAAGTAAACGGTAAACAGTGAACTTGTGAGATATATTTAGGAACATTATTTGTTGTTACCAGTTACACTGGAGAACAGCACAAATGAGTACAACCACAACTTACTTAATAATTACATTGTACATTATCTGCTGAACCCCTTTTACTCCCAAGATTTTGTTAGTAATTCTCATTACTGTCTGCCATACTGTTCTTGTGATGTTTTTTCGAAGAATTCGGTTTTGGATCAACCAATAAACCCTCAACTGATCTTTCTTTTTTCTCATCATTTGTTTGCTTGATATTGTATTGATATTGCAGGAGAAATTCTGTGTGAGTCACTCATATGAGTTATAGGCTTAAATTTTGGATAATTTGCGTTTGATTAAATTTGACTCCATCTCCCTTTAAATTAATAGCAAATGCCACATAGTTTCAATAATTCTTAATCCTGTAACTCCCAGAAATGATTAACAACTAACTTCTCCCCATAATATCAATACATTATCTAGCAAACAAGTAACTTATCAGGTAGAAGTTATCAAACACCAAAATCTTGTGACTAATTTACAAGGAAATTAGTAGCAGCTAGAGGGGAGAATTTAATGATCAGATCTTGGCAGTTAATGGGTCAGCCACTCTCTGTCAGAACTTAGATATGGCTCTGAGCCAGAATTTTACTCTGTTCATAATGTAACCTCTCCTTACAAAGTAATTATACATCTCAGTGATTGCTGTGACTTTCTGCATGTTACATGTAATGCTTATTAGTATAACAATTTTTAGAGTATGCCAAATGATCATACTCTAGTTATTCTTGTCTCACTCAGGCAACAACTATCTTAGTGCTCTTTTCACCCTACTGGTAAATGCTTATGGTGTTGGGAATAGCTCTGATGGACTAACATTGTAACTCAACTCCTTGAAGTATGATGCACTTCAATAGTGTCATATAATGGAAATCATCCTGAAACAATTTTTCTGGGTTAACAGATCTGAGCATAATTTCTTGCAATTGGAAAAAGATATTGATAATTTTCCAAGTAAGAATTATAAAAAGCCAGTTCTTCTAAGTCACAAAGCTACTTTTACTACCAGTAACATGAAAATTACGATTTTTTGTTCTCATCAAATGTAACAATACGTAATGTAACAAGAACAGGTTTCTTCTGGTCACAATAAAAAGCTGATGATTTTTGATAAGGTATTTCTTGTATCACCCAGTGTTTTCCTTGGCTTTTTTTCAGACTGTTTTCAAGAGACAAAAGTTAATCAAGCCTGTTCGAGACTGTGGTTCTAGAGGGAACAAGTTCTTAAAATCTTTAACCCATTTCAGACCAAATGAATTGAAAATTATACCCTTGACAATGCTTGCCTCCCTTCCCATAGCCTTTGAGGAGGACAGGAGGGATTTAGCTATTTTGAGATATATATATATATATCTTATTAGACGTTTTGTTGTGTAGTATCGCTGAGTATTTTTACGAGTTGTGCCGTATTTTGACGAGCCCGTAGGGCGAGTCAAAATACAAATAACGAGTAAAAATACTCAGCGATACTACACAACAAAACGTCTAATAAGTTATTTATTATCCAACACGCCAAACTGTTATTTCAGTGCGGGCGAATTTCGCGGATATTTATTTACGGGGAGTGCGTGACAGAAGTATGCGAAGCGGAACGGAATTGGCGCGTTGTTGTGTTGCTGTTTCTATTTTCTTCATTAAATGAAGAAATTTTCTGGTCGTCAAGCTGTTTTTCTTCGTTCGATTCATCTAATGAACTTGGATCTATATTTGCCAGCCACTCTGACTCTTCGTCGTCGGAAATAGGATTGAAATTGTCCGCCACTTTTTTTTTTTTTTTTTCGTAACTAAACTCCAATTCTTCGCTTGCGCGATGCGAGAAAACCTGTTTAAGTGGTACTACAATAGACGAAATACAAATACCGCGTGATATTTGTACTCGTCTAGGTGTAGTTGGATAATAACATGCAATACTACTTGACACATCCATCTATTTGATGCTGAAAAACACTACGGCCTTCAGTGCTAAAGCTTTCGTTTAAAACGCAGACTTTTTAGCCCTTCTTTTTAACTGGGGATGCGCTTTAAGACGCCAGAAAATTTAGATGGTATTCGAAAACTGACAAAAATCCGTCACAAACTGTCGCTTCAATCAGCGTTTCTTTTTGTGAGGATAAAACAACAAAAAGAAATGAAATTCATGATATGTCGTCAGATTAAAATACATAATGAGTGTGAACAGGTGAAAGCAAACTAACATGCAAGTGTTCAAAGAAGAAACGATGGAAGTAAGTTGTTGGCCAGGGTACCGTTTCGAGTAGGTCTCGGTGACTTATCGGACCCGTAAAGCTGTTCTGTTTTCATTCAATGTGAGTGTTAAAGAAGTTTTGAAAAATATACAATAAACTTTTAGCTAAAGAAACAAAATGGATTGGTTAGGGAGCCTTGACCTGCTTCTATTCTTTAAACAATAATTCTAAAATACAGCCTCGGGCCCTTTAACTTATGGGGACTTTCGAGAAACGGGCCCATGGTCAGTTTAAATCTTCGTTCATTGGAGCAGTGAAGTGCAAAAGTGAATATATCAGGCTTTACGGGGGAAGGGGTAGGGGACAAAGGAAGCCCCACACTTCTACGTAGTCAAGGCGATGATTAGAAGCGAATATTTAATATGTAACAGGCCGCAGCCGCAGGCCGGAAGCCATGCTAACCTTCAAAAATATATGTAGTCCTGTGTGAAACACGACAAAAGGGGTAAGAGTTCCAAGGTAGGTAAACCTTTTTATCTTGAAACATTTTAGGCAGGTTTCGCTATGGTGTGTCGCGTAAACCGAATTTGACACACTCCCTCGGGATTCGAATTCAAGATAACTCAGCTTTCCTCGATTATTGCTCTATAGCACCGCAAGATACCTTGGTCTTTTCTAGCACTACCAGTTCCTACTTTCGCGAGGAGAACTTTGACTTACCCCAACAGCCCTTTTTGCACTGATTATGCCAGAACCCTAAGATACGAGAAACGTCGCAGCAAACGCTTCGTTGGTGATATTACAGATCCGTAATTTTTACTTTTGTACTCCACTTCAAGAACAATAGACCTCTTCATCTTGCATGCTCTGAATTGTTTTTCCAAAGAAGGTCATAAGTTGGTGATAATACTCCAGAGAACCCTTTTTTTCAAATTTTGCGGTATTTACGTGAAAAGGTGAGCATAATTTACAAAAGACAAAGAGTGAATACCTTTGAGTCCTCCGTTGGGAAAGCAAAACATACAAACTAAAGAGGGTTTGGCCCTTTGGATCGTACAGGCATTCTTGCACTGTATTGTTTGTGTTCATGCATGCCGATATTCAGACAGGCCGGCGAACATGGACCTGGATAATGTGAGACTTTAAATGCTTCAGGGGTAATAAGATAGAGTAGTGTCACAGCCGAAACGACCAAAAACAGCTTCGCCTCTGTTGGGGTTCAAACAGAGGAATGGTGAAGGTAAAAAAAGGGAAAAAATGGTGATAGTGCCAATCCTCAACATCTTTGTCCATGTAGCCTAGAACGAGTTCGGTTGGCTGCGTTTCCAGGAAAAAGACAGAATTGACTCTGAAATTTACTCACCTTTTCATTCATTTCATTGTTACATCTGAAAATCTGTTTGCGACACACGCAGTTGCAGCATTCCAGTGGTTCGAAAATCATTGTAGAAGAAATTTGCGGTAAGACTTTTACTATAATCAAAAAATTGAAAAAATTCTTACCTAGTATAGGGAAAACAGAAGACCAGATTGAGGGAGTTTTACCGGTGTTCTTTTCCATCTCGTCCCAAGCCTCTCCCGTTTTTCTCATTATTTGCAACCACAGTAACCCGTTTACAAACCCAGCGCATTATACATTGGGTATATTTCATAGATTTAGTGATCCCCAGGCACTAAAAGTTATTGAGCCGATTGTATGAACCAGGGAGAGAGTGTGATTGTCCGGGCGAGGGTAGTTCTGAGAGGGAGAGTTGTTGGTCGTAATAATGACTGACGTTTACACAACCTGAGCGGAAGTCATCATAGTCGAGCGACTTCCGCTCAGGCAGTCCCTCTCAGGGCTACCTTCGCCCGAACAATAAGACTATTCGATCGAAAAGTTATTCTTTCGATATCGAACAATAGTTGGATGTAGAAAGCCCGTTGAACTCGTGGTTGTGTTTGTTGTTCAGTGTTGTTGTTCTTTCATCTGACAGAAAAACGAACGCAAATCGGAAAGAATTTTAGTCCTTGAAAATTTGGGATAGGTGATTGGCAAGATTATACTTCCCTCCCCAAAATTTAAAGTGACTTGAGCACATTCCCAAATAAGGAAAATGTCCTGAAAAAGTAGAATTTCTGGAGAATTTTCACAAATAGAGGTTAAGGCGAAAGATACAGTGCCGATATGGGGAAAGCCGCTTTCTTTGAGGAAATTCGGCGAAGAAATATTTACACAATATAAGATACAATGGATATATGAAGTTCATATATTTTGAACTGCGGTTGTAGATACGTATGATGCACGATCCTCGCAGTAGAGAGCGCTATTTATGCAATAGCGAAAATCAGACCTGAAAAATCCAGTTTTTTTTCAGGTCTGATTTTCGCTATTGCATAAATAGCGCTCTCTATTGCGAGGATCGTGCATCATACGTATCTACAACCGCAGTTCAAAATATATGAACTTCATATATCCATTGTACCTCAGGAAATGTTTGGAGAANATGCATATTCTCCATACTCTTCTCCAAACATTTCCTGAGGTACAATGGATATATGAAGTTCATATATTTTGAACTGCGGTTGTAGATACGTATGATGCACGATCCTCGCTGTAGAGAGAAATCCATTGTATCTGATTTATCATCACGGGTTTATTACGAATCAACTTAACGGCCTGCTCCCAGTTGGCTTGTTAGCTCAATTGGTAGAGCGCTGCACTAGTATCGCAGAGGTCAGTGGTTCGAATCCCGTACAGGCCTGATTTTTTTCAGATCTGATTTTCGCTATTGCATAAATGGCGCTCTCTACTGCAAGGATCGTGCATCAGACGTAACAATATAAGATATATAAATATACCACGGTTGCCTGGTTTCCCAACTAAACCTTCAAGGAGATGTACACAATTTTACCCGAAAAGCTTGTAGTTGTAAACAAGCGGTCGAAGGAATTCAGAACTAAACAGTTGCCCCTGGCCCCTTTTTACACTTTATACCTTTTTGCTATAAAACAATCTCACTCTCATTCCACCCACTTTATCGAGTCGTGAAGTTCGCAAGATGTCCCCTCTGGTAGAATACCGATCTTCTTGATCAGAAAACAGATGGCGCCTCAGAGCCAACCCCCTTTTATCTCTTCCGGGGGGCGGAGAACCCGGTCGAGGAGTATGGAAGTAAACGGTTTTACGGTGTCAGCCCCGTAAAGGAAACTTCAAATTTGCTGTTGTGGAACGAAAATGTTGTTTTGCTTGACTATTTTTTTTTTCATGACACGTTTCTGATTGCAAAATGTATCTGAGATCGTACAGCACTTCTTTCTGACGAAAAAACTAAGCTCCTGTATTAGGTATGTCTAGCTGTATCTCTGGGCAAATCTTCGTGATACTGCAAACGTTACACTTTGAAATTTTGAGGAAAAGGCCTTGTTTCTACCTAGAAACCAAAACGGAAATATCGATTGAAAAGTGCGGACACTCTCTTTTTAAAAACCTGAAGGGGCTGCCAACGTTCTGAACGAGTAAAAGCTTTCGGCTTCTCTCCACAAAACTTCGACAAAATGTCGCCTAAACGAGACGACGATAAAATACATCTCGCATAATTTGGCTCTCTAGCTCTAAGACCGCGTAACCTGCCTGTCTGGGTTGCGTACTAGACAGGTTTTCGTCATATTCACACTCAGAAGCGCATATTAACATTTCTCCTGCGGGCTCTCCTTTGAAAGAGTTTCCGGTCCTTTGAAAAAAATTTAGAAAACCTAATAACAAAGCATCTCTGTTTAATATCGTCTGAAAATAACTTGGTTTCATGACTACTATATATTGGACGAGCACTATCAACTTTATCGGCTGAAGCATGCCATTTTAATGAAAAAACAAAAAAAAAAACAAAACAAAATAAAACAAAAAAAATGGTGAAATGAACTGAAACAAAGTCTCTAACAATCATCAATATTCCAGATTTTCTTGATCAAGTTGAATTATTATTGAAATCCTTTTGAAGGGTTGAAAAAGAGGAAAATGCGAAAGAGAAGCACTGCTTATCATTGAAAAGGTAAAGCTACCGAAACTGACCACACATCGTTTTATGTTTCATTTCAAAAGGCATCTGTCAACAACCACACAGCCGCGGAAAGGTGAACTCGAAATAGCTTTAAATAAATAGTTTCGATATAACAATAAAAACAGACTAAACTGACGGTTTTAGGGAAAAACGTGTGCGTATAAAACTGCTAATCGATCACAGCGTTTTAGGTCTCGCCAGAGTGATTCGACTTCTAATTTAGAATTCATTGCTCAGACGGCCTTGAGCGCTTTCCACTCTGTTTGTTCCCGCTAACATTCCTCGCTTTTTAAACAGTTTCCTGGATGAAAACCTCAACGTAATCGTATTTCCTTTCTGCCTTTCAAAAATCACAAGGACGATGAACGTATTCCAAAAACGATGGGGTAAATACGAATTATTTAGACTAGAAACTACCAGAAAGCGGTGATATTCACAAGCAAAATGAATGTGAATAATTTACTTAACTTGCACCAAGTCTTCCATACACTCTTTTAATTAAGTAGCCACATTTAAACCGCTATAACATCTTGTTTTTCGCTTTCACCGAGGAAACTTCCTTTTTTTCTTCAATTTGATAACGAGGGAATTCGAAAGCGCAACAAACATTTAAAGTAAACATTTCATTCACTTGGAGATATCAACAAGGCCTTTTCGGATGAGATAACTTACAACTCCCACATTATAATTTTGAATTTTTTTATCGAGTTTCTGGTTATATAGAACAAGATGCAACTAGGAATCTTGAACGCCTGTTTTCTTCGCGAAAATCTACCGTCCCTCTGGCTTTTCGGCTAGGTGCTCCGATTCAACACGTCACTAAAAAGAAGCTGCTAAGAAAAACAATTCATCATTTTTAAACGCTCTGTAGGTTGGTGGCGTGAATTTTTCTCCCGCGGGAGGTTATTTGGTTTTTATTTTTCCGCTTTGTCTGAAACGTCCTTCAAATCCGTTTTCGTCTGTAAGAGAAGCTCAGCGACTCTGAAAAGTCTCTGTGGGTTTGTAATATTTCCCTTTTTTCGAAATAAAAAAATTCCTTTGAAAAACAAAGTAGCTTTGGATGTCAAAGGTCCAATGACAGTTTAGAGTAATTAAAATTCTTCTTTTTCCAGAACGCGCAATGAAAACGAAAAAACAGTTTAGCATTTTTATGTCACAGATAGACTCTTAGTTTTCAGGGCAGCTTTTTCTCAGTTTGGTTTTCCTCCGTAATTGGAAAACGAGTTTCAATTAACTGGGAAAGGAAAAACTGAAAAGTTATGGAAGGGATTATTTTGCTTCATCATCCTCTGTCCAATGTTGCAAATTATTTTCTCTGCGGTTTTGTTTTAATCTGAATAATCGTTCCCCAGATTAAATTTCAAGCTCAACTTCCCGTTAGGCAAGGAGAAATTAGGATAGCGCTCACATCGGGCCATCAACAAAGAGTGTTGAAAAACTTTCTACCCTCTTCAAAAAGAAGCCACTGATCCAAGCAGGTAGTTAGCGATATCTTTATTTTGATTTAAATTCAACGTTTATTCAAATAACTCCGTCAGCGCTTCAAAGATTCCAGGAATTTTGCATAACAATAACTCTTATCACGTGGGTTTTTGTTTGCAAGTGAATGATTGACAGACACTTCGTATCGGATGAACAATTTTTTTGCATTTCTGCGTGGAGTGGCCTTGCACTGAACGCCAAACTTCTAAACTGCAGTTTTTCTCGCCAATTTTCTCGACATCGTTCAAAACTTTTGATGAACGTCAAACGGGGTTAGATTTTCTTGCCGTTTCGTTTACTCGAGTTTGAAATTTGGGTTTTTTTCTGGCCAACTAAAAAGTGAGTTGTGTTTTCTATATTAGCGCACACTTAGCACCCGGCAGTTTAGTTTTCAACGGGGTCTCTTCTTTTTCGGCGTTTGTTTATTTTTCAGGAAGTCTTGTCGCGTACTAACTCGCTTGCCATCTATTCTCTTTATTGCAGGCGATATTTACAGGAGGAGGAACAAGCAACATGTCTTGTGAAGATATAACAAAGCACAATGGAGCTGAAGAACCAAAGAAGCAAAACAAGTCTTCACATGGAAACGAGGTCAAGTATTTCACGCGCTACAACACGATCCTTTCGGTTTTCTGCGTTAAGATTTCGCAAGAAACCTTTCATTTTCGAGCGAAAGTTTCGAAAAACCTCATCAGCCCTTCATCCTTTTGAAAAATGTGATTAAGCAGGAAATTCAAGCCTCATAAAGTCGTTTTTTTAAACCGAAAGTGTCTGAACCTAAAGGTTATTGAATATTCAGACATCGAAACACCTCAAGCGTAGAGATCAGCGTGATGGAAGGAAATTGTACTCACGCTATATCGGTCGTTTAAAGGCATTTGGCTCCGTCGGTATTTCACGTCTAGGTTTCGATGGATCTTGTTAAGTTTTTGTATACGGCCGGAAAGACGAAGCTTTTCACGCTTTCCGTGTTGCTTCGCGGTTGGTTCCCAAAATAGCTTTTAATTTATGAATTGATTTCATAGCATTTTGATGCCATCTAGCTACTTTTGTTTGTTCGCAGTTTCTTTTTTCCCATGTTGAAGACAAAAGACTCGATAGCGCTACCCTTTTCCTGGGGTTCTATCAGAGTTTTTGGTGATTTAAGATTTGGAAAAGAAATATTAGTGCTGGTTTTCTGCGTCTTTCTCCAAGCGGATTTGTTTTCACATTTCACACTAGGTTGAGATAGCCATGACAAAAGCAGTCGACCTCATCCTGCAAGGGTCGCGCTTAGTGCCACTTTCTTTCAAGGTTCTTCTGTCGTTTGTTTTACTTCTTTTTTGTTTATTGTAACAGTTAAATTGTCCAAAGTCCGAAATTGACGTCATGAAAAAATTATTCTCGCTCAATGAAACAGGAAAACGACACCGCCTCACTTCATGTCTTGCTTCTGGATCATCCTGGCAAAATAACGTGACGATTGATTTGAGAAAAAATAAACAAACAGTTTTTATCTCACTTTTATTAGTCTTACCTTAAAATCGTAGCGGCTTTTTGGTAACATCTCGATCTGATATTCTTTTGCCGCCAATCGTTAACAATATGGATTCTCGAAATCGATATTTAGTTAGAGTGTATTAATTGCTACCAGAAATCTTTTCAAAGGAGGAAACTGTTTTCAACTCTAGTTTTTGAGTTATCGTGCCGTGGCTTTTCTTTTTCGGGTTAAAATTTACAAACCGTTTCGTTTTCAAGATCGCAGCTACGAATTTGGGCCAGTCACAGAAACTATTTTTTCTTCCACGCCAGACTTCACTGGAAACGATTTTCATAAACGTCATCTTTGACTATAATTATTTTCCCCACGTCGCGTGGACATACCGTATTTCTGTTAACACCGTAAATTTGCGGATACACAGTCCGTTCCTAGCAAAAGAAAAGAGAAAAACCCCAGAAAACGATCGCGAACTCGCTTTCCCTGAGCTTTTAAACAGTAGGGAGGTTAAACACACTTAAAAGGTCAATCTGTCTTCAGATGTCGAAACTGTCTTTCTTTCTGATATTAAATTTAATACTTAATCGCAAGCGTCACGCAAGTGCTATGAAAGACCTGTCCAAACGCAAATTTACCGTTTCATCCCTGGGTGGCTTATAAATCCTCGGATTAGCAAAACTTGGCGCCGGATCTACGGATTTGGGCCAAAAACTGACCAGCATTTTCGGATTCCTTCGAAGCCAGCTTTTCTTTCCTTGTTTTTTTTTTTTTTCCTTGTAATTTTTTTTTTCGTTCCCCAATGGGGAATGAATAAAGCAGACGGTTGTGCATATAGAGTTGACGATAAATCAGTCCTGGAAGAAGAGGTACCCACAGTGAGTCTTTTCTAGGGATGTTACCCGCGGTATTGAAATAGCGCATTAAGGCGCCTGATGTGATATGTATTCCAACTCAGTAAGCCAATATATTTGGTCAATAGGTGAATTGCGACAAGTACAGGAGATTTTCTTGTGGTTTTTCCTTTTTTTTTGACGACTGGGGATTAAGAAAGGTGCACATAGTTAATAAGTAAAATTTTACAGTATACGAAGTACGATTTGCGCAAAGGTGCTTGTGAAAAAATCGAACTCACAAAAAAAAAAAACAAAAACAAAACACAGCGTCATCTTACGAATTGACTCCTTTTTTCCTTGTATGAATTACTTATCTAACAATTAAGTCCACGAATTTTGCTCTAACTGTTAACTTTTTTTTTAACTTTTTTTTTCCCAATAGTGGATTTATGGAGAAATTTTAAATGGTGAATTGCAGAAAAACGCCTTCATAGGAATGTCTTACGGACCACCGCCGAAGAAACTGAAAACTGAGGGCGAAGAGGAAAAACAAATAGAACAGGATCGATCCACAAATGGTAATAAATATTCACAATCTTGAGTCTGCAAAATTAATACTCATAGGCGAAGGGCAAGAAAAATCATAGGCCCGCATAGCGTGCTTGTTTTCGTGTGAACAACACTAAAAGGTATCTTTGCGCAAACAAATCACTCATAATCATCAAAGTTAGAGAATATGACTTGAAATGATCGCGAGGAAAACAGAAATGTAAGTCCTTAATTTTTTCGTTCTATACACATCTGTTATTCACCGGGCGTTAAGGTCCATTTGGGGAACACTGTGCCACCGGCAAATGTACTTTTTTCTGATGGTTTTCTGGAAAAATTCCGGACCGAGATCCGTATTGTAAAAAACACTGGACCGGTTACCAGCGTGCAATTAGCCAATCGGATTCCAGGACTTACTGGACTACGCATTTCGGCCCATTGAGATGCTTCAGAAAAAATTAAGTTATTAAGTAAAAATTACGGTGCTGTCACGAGAAACCTTCCTCAATTCCAAAGGCAACGGAATCTCAAGAGCCATGCTTCACCAACCATCAAATGCCGCCTAAAGAAGTCAATAATGTTGTCACTGGAAACGCAACCGGTTTCCCGTGACAACAACACAAATTTAACATCAACACGCTTTACTTAATTTAAAATCGTAGTATTTTCCTGTCCGGCCTGACCAAACTCAGTCATTGGGCATTTTATCAAATAAACTCAGCCATTTTGATCTATTTAGTAAGGTACTTAATATGAATACGTGATTCT